GAAGCCTGCTTCTCCTTCTCCCACTCCCCCTGCTTGTGTTCCTGCTCTCGCTATGTCTCTCTCTGTCAAATAAATAAATAAAATATTTAAAAATAAATAAATAAAAAAATAAAATAAAAAATGTGGATAGAGTTAGAAAAAGGGAAGAGCGCTATAAATAAGGACTAGGTCAGTGGAAAAGGAACCTCATGGAATGAATTTTCTGACTTCTAACACTTCTTTGGATAGGCATCAGTAAGCCTGGGGACATGCTGGCCAGTCTAAAAGAACTCAACTCCATGGTGCCCATGGCTTCCTCCCCCTGCCCAGATTTTGGGTCAGTGATTTGACCAGTGAAGTGCAAGTGTCTGCCCCATACCTAAAGGTCATCTGGAAGACTTGGCCTTGGTTCACATGCTGGGTCCGGTTGTTGTAACCATGTAGCATCTCTCCAAAGAGGGTGTCGTTGAATTTGGAGTCAGGTTTGAGGCATTTGGGGCCCTCGCAGACATCTGAGAGCATTAGGCAGGATTTTCCATCAGGAGCCAGCTTGTACTCCTCCACACAACTGCATGATAAAACAGAGCCGAGAGTTAGCTCCGCATGTTGGATGCCCCCACTGTGGGTGACCCAAAACCAAGGCCTCCTTTGCCTGCAAAACAGGTCAGAGTTTAGGAATGGAGACAGCTATTCTGGCTGGAATCTATCTAGGGCACAGGTGTCTAGAGAGAAGCACATTAATCCTGCAAATTAGTAAATTCAGGGAAAGTCATTTGTGACATTTTGGAGGAGTCGAGGGGGAAACCAGAGTGCACATCTACGCACAAAGCAAATTTAAAAACTGTTTTCCATGAACACACCGACTTTGAAAAGCATGACAGACCAATTCACAGTGAATTATCAACTAGTTTCTCGAACCAGAATCTATTCCCAGTGTATCTGTCGACCAAGGTTGAAGACGGTAGCAAAAACAAGGTTGTTATTGCCCTTGTAACTCAGAGGTGATCCTTCCAGGACCACGGACAGCTCACAGAGCTGCAGCCATTGCTTCTGCTCAATTAGCAATGTTAGCAGCCTCTGTCGGCCTCTAACTACCCAGTTGTAAGAGCAGAAGGGCCCTTAACATACCTCTGAGGCAGGGACCAAACAGGTCCTCCTCTACGGACCAAACAGGCATCTGAACGGGGTGTTGAAATAATATTTGCAATTTGGAGATCTTCGCAGTGAAAAAGGTATCTCTTAGGCATGGGGAAGGAAACAGAGGTCTCGGCGCCCGAAAAATCAATCCAGAAACTAGAATTCTTTTAGGGTCTACATGTTCATGATCCTTTGCTAGGCACTGGGAATAGGGTACACATAATAGATAAGACACACAAGAGAATAGGCTGCTCAGCTGGAAAAACATGAATAAATGTCATCTTTGCTCCTTTGGACCTAGGTGAACCCCAGCAAGCCATTTAATTTATTTGATCTTCAGTTTCCTCATCTGTAAAATGGGGTAGAAACTCCTATCCTATCTTAATTCAGTAGGCAGCTACAAGGTCCTATAATACATTGGCTACAAAAACAAGAACTGCAAGGTAGTTCAAAAAATAATTACAGTAATGGTGTTAAGGGCGGTGTTTCTATATATTGAGCATATACTTTCCATGGGTACTTTGTATATTTATTTTCTAACCATGAAAAGAAGTAATACCATTCTTGCTTTACCCAGAATCAGAATGAGGAGCCAGGAAGTATAAAGCATGTCGCAACGTGAGTGAGTGGCAAAGTGGCTTTCAAATTCAGGTCTGTTTAGCAACAAAGGCACTCTTTTCTACTCTTCTCCAAATCCAGTTGCTTCTATTTGCATAACATGACCCTGGTTGGGCTGTGCCAGTCGGAGACAGTAGAAAGCAGGCAGTCTCTTATTTGCCTTTTCTCAAGGAGGTGGAGTGAAACATCTGTTGAATTTGACTGCAGAGATACTCAGGTACTCATATGGAAGAAGGGAGAGGCTCTGTGAGATGGTCGGGATGGAAATATTCCTGGGTTGAAGGAACCAGTAGCTGCTATCAGAGACATGGAACCCAACTGAAGGCAGGAAGTAAAGAGGCAGAGCTGAAAACCTGACCCAAGAACACTCTCGTGAAAAGCTAGGGACATCTCAGACATTAAGCAAGTTGTCACTCTTCCCTGTGCCCCTCTCACTTCCACTGTGTTGCACAGATGCACCAATTGTCTTTAGCATGCTTATATGCTCCTGCCCAAGTACAATGGAAAGTTCTTGGAAGAAGGCCTGTCCTGGGTACTTCATCAAGTCTATCCCCCACTTCTTTTTGCATTTGTTAAATGTAATTAAACTCCCTTGATAAAGTTGCAGTACACATGATATGAGTTGTATGAATGGGCAGAGTATATGGTAAGTTCTTAATAAAGTCTAGTTCTACCCATTTATCCTAGGAGTCTCCCAGCAAGTATGAGAAATGGTTTACTGTAGTAGAGCTTTCTCTCTCTCTCTCTACACACACACACACACGTGTGTGTGTGTGCCTGTGAATACCTATTTTTGTTGTAAATGATTAAACATTATCAAAATCTATAGAGTGAAATATGGAAGTTGTTCCTTTCCACTCCACATATATTCTTTTTTTAAAAATATTTTATTTATTTATTTGACACAGAAAGCGAGAGAGCACAAGCAGGGGGAGCAGTAGAAGGAAAGGGAGAAGCAGGCTCCCCGCCAAGCAGGGAGCCCAATGTGGGACTCAATCCCAGGACTCTGGGATCACGACCTGAGCCAAAGGCAGATGCTTAACCATCTGAGCCATCCAGGCGCCCCCTCCACATATATTCTTACTTCCTATTTCAGTAGTCGTCGTGGTTAACTATTATATATTCTTCTAGGCTTTTTTCAATGCATTTAGAAGTACAATGTCATGTATATAATAAAAATTATATTATACACATATACATTTTCATAATAAACTCATAAGTACACCATACATTGTTATAAAATATGCATTTGTACCTAATACTATTTCTTAGAGATCTCTTCCAATCAGTATTCATATATATCCATCTTTCTTATGGTTATTTGGCATTGCACAGTATAAATGTACCATAATGCTTTTAGCTGATCTTTACTGATGGGCATTTTGGTTGTTTATAAGCTGTTTATTATTGCAAATGGTGTCATAATGAAGATCTTTGAACATATATCATTGTGTACATGTATGTGTTTCTATAAAAAAAATCTTAGAAGAGGGATTGAGGGGTCAGTGGTTCATGAATTGAAAAATTTTGGTAGATCTACTAAATGGCTATCTATAGAGGCTCTACCAGTTTACAGTCTTATCACTGATGAATGAGAGAGCCCATTTCCCCATATCTTTCATGTTCATTATTGCCAACCTCAGATGGGAAAAAATAACTCATTTGAAAAAGATGTTATTTATTTATTTGAGGTGGGGGAGGGGCAGAGGGAGAGGGAAAGAGAGGATCCCAAGTAGACCCCACACTGAGTTCAGAGCCAGATGTGGGGCTCACTCCCAGGACCCTGAGATCACGACTGAGCTGAAATTAAGAGCTGGATGCTCAACCAACTGAACCACCCAGGCGCCCCAACTCATTTTTGTTTTGATTTGCATTTCCCTGATTACTGCTGAGGTTCACTGTCTTTTCAGGTCACAGCCATATGTATTTCTTTTTCTATAGATTGTCCATCCATGTGCTTTGACAATTTTTTTCTATCGTGATACTTGTCATTTTCCTTATTGGCTTGTATATGCTTTGCATATTTTCTGGATAGTTATCCTTCACCTGCCATATATATTGAAATTTTCTTCTAGTCCATACTTGTATTTTAATCTTACTTTTGATATCTTATAACCTCTCTATCCTGGTCCTTTACTGCTGCTGAATTTGATGCAATGCTTAGGAAATCACAAGATGATAAAACATATTTCTGTATATTATTCTAGTTATATATAGGTTTTTTTTTTTCATCTTTGGTTGTTTAATTTGTATGGATTTAATTTTGTCCATGGTGGGAGTGGTTATTTTAACTTAATTATTTTTAAAATGAGTTACCTGAAGGGTCCATCCGGTTCATTAGCTAATGTAAAATGTTATTTTGTCATATACTAAGTCACTATGTATACCATGGATACATGGTTGGAATTTTTCCTACTTAGTTGTCTGTATATTCCTGCAATAATTCTATACTACTTGAATTACTGTAGCTTTATAGCACGGTTTGCATATAGTAAAGTAAGTTTCTTCCCCATCGTAAAGACTGATTTTCTATCTCAAAACCTCCTCACTGTTCTTTTTTTTTTTTTAAAGATTTATTTATTTATTTGAGAGAGCGAGAATGAGAGTACATGAGAGGGGGGAGGGTCAGAGGGAGAAGCAGGCTCCTCGCTGAGCAGGGAGCCCGATGCGGGACTCGATCCCGGGACTCCAGGATCATGACCTGAGCCGAAGGCAGTTGCTTAACCAACTGAGCCACCCAGGCGCCCGCCTCCTCACTGTTCTTAACTATTTTTCCCTTCAAATGAATTTTGGAGTTGACTTGTCAAATACCATATAAAACCTGAGTGGAGTTTGGGTGGTATTGCATTAAATTGGTAGACCAATTTTGGGGAAGATTTAAATATGTTTTTTTCCTTAAGATGTATATATATATACATCAACTCTGTGCTGGGCAGAGAAGATGTCTTCTGTTCACCACCCTGGGTCCTCCTCCTGGATATGCACCGTAGACTCTGCATCCAAGCTTCCCTTGCAGTGGTGGGATCCCACGTGATGGGATTCTGAATAATGATATCTGTGCTGATGTGGTATGTTGCTACAGACTTAGCCCCCCAAAACATCCTGTGTGATTCTCAAGCCCTCTCTTCTCTTGCTACGGCAAGTGTGGAGACCACAGTTTCCAAATGCATACTGCAGGATGGAAGAGGGTAGCCTCAGTCACAATGGATTTTGCATGGAAAGTTTATAATAAAATTTTGTGTATAAGCTTCCGGCTTGGGAGATTTCATTTTTTACCGCAACCTAGCTTACCTTATCCTAGCATCTTTACAGTTGTGAGTTTGCTAATTCAGAAACATAGTTTGCAGCTCCATGTAGACAGTGTTCCTTTAAAACCTTCAATGAAGTTTTAGACTTTGGGTCAGAAAAGTCTTGCACGTATCATGTCGGGGCTTATTCACAGGTATTTATGCAACGTACGACGCTCCAGAGGTTACAGACATGCATTTTGGATCCAGACCACCAGACGCCAAATCCTGATTCCGTCTCCTATCGGCTGTGTGGCCTTGGACAAAATGCTTAACCTCTCTGTACTTCCTTTGCTTACCTAAAAGGAAGTTCCCACCTCATAGAGCCACTGCAAGGATTAAATGAGTTACGTCTAGAATTTGGTGATGGCTGTTATTATTATAATCTTTTCCATGTCAGGAAAAGGATCAGTTTCTCACTTAGGTTTTCCCTTATGTTTTTTAGTTAGTTATTGCAATATTGAGGAAAGCTATGACTGACTTCTGTAACTTGATTTTTCATCCTACCACATAAGGAGCTCATCAG